CCTCCCTCCAGTCCCCTCCTGGGTGGTCATTTTTGGATACGAGAGGGTGAGACTGTGGGAAAAACCCTTATGGTGCGTGGATGAGTGTGCATGCTGTGGTTGTAAGGGCTCTGGGGTGTGGCTGGGCACGATTCCAGCCCCCAGTTCTACTCTCCATCCACCCAGGCTTTTGTTCACGTCCTGCACTTGTCCGCCCTCAGTGGTCAGCTGCTCTCGTGCTTCTGTCCCTGCGGCCTTTGGAAGAGCTGTGCTTGCCCGAAGGGATGGTTCTGCTCCATGTCCAGCCTGTTCTGGGGAGTCCTGAGGGGTCAGACACCTGACTCTGGGCAGGGCCTGGGAGTTTATAGCCTGAAGTCTGCATTGATCCCAGCCCCTGTGGGGCTCCCCTCCATCTGCAAAGAGAGACAGGCCCCAGGATCCTCCTCAGGACCTTTATGCTCTGTCCCCAGAGGTTCTCCTAGATGGGAGGGGGTCTTTGGGGCAGATTCTCCTGAGGGTGGCAATTACAGATGGAGAGTGTGAAGCAGAAGACACCCTTTTCAGAGGGAAGATTTCCTGGAACCCCAGTGTGGGAGAGTCTCAAGACCTCTCCCCTAAGCCTTTGCTCTATTTGGATGCCTCCAGTGATGGAGGGGTCACAGCTGAATGGCCGTCTCGGTTCATTTTAGACAGCAGTTGGTCTTCATGTCAGGCTGAGTTCTGTTTTCTGGAGCTCTTGGCCATTCCTGGGACCAGCAGCCCTCTGCCCTGAGCTTATCCTCCTCCGTGTTCTCAGGAGCCCTGCCCTCAAGCCCCCGAGCCCCCCTTGGGTGACCAGCTGCAGTGTCAGGCTGGCAGCCCATCAGTGGCCTGTGGGAAAGACCTTTCAGAGTGGCCAGAGCAGCACCGAAATTCTGCAGGGAGTTTTTGCTAGCTTTCCTCAGGATCCCAGGCCCTGAGACATGGAATCACTTTGGGGTCATCCACTTCAATCCTGTTATTTCACAGATGGGTAAACCGAGGCCCAGGGGTTAAGTCACATGGCTGAGACAAAGGCAGGACCGGGACTGAGTCCTCTGGTCCCCGGCTTGCACCTCTTCCACGTGACTTACATGCAGCGTCAGGAATGCCCAGGACGCCTGCAGCATGAGTTAGGAGCTGTGGGACGTGGTACTGAAATGCAGAGTTCTGTCCCCTTGCTTAGGACTGCCTGCGCCATCGTATGGATTTGCTGAATGAACCATTTCCTTTCCTGCTAATTTGGAGACCACACTATTGCTGGTTCCGGCTGCCAGGGAGAGCCCCAGGATGTAGGGTACGGGAGGACATTCTGGAACCGTGTTCTGTTTTATAACACCCTTGACATGCTGATGATTTAAAGGCCCGGACTATGTCAGGGTCATGCTTTCAGACAGAGAATCTCCATCCCATGACAGCTCTCCCCACTGCTGGTGGAAGCCTACACACCACTCATTCCCATACGGGAATGGAGGACGGTGCTCCCACCAGGTCCCTGGCCAGATGGGCTGGGCCGGGGCTTAGGAGTGCGAGTCAGAAGGTGGCGGGGTTCTGGGACTTCCGCTGACCTCGCCCTTGCATGGCCCCCAGCGCAGGGCTGCCCAGCCCTCTTCGTCCTGGGCCTCTGCGTCAGGACACGGCCTTGTTCTGGCGCCCTGCCGGGGGCTAGGAGACCACAGGGCCCTGGGTGCTCTGAAGAGGCCGTGCCTCAGAGACATGTTTGGCAGCATTTTTCTGTGGAAACAGACGCTTGAAGGTGGTTCTGTTCCTGGGACCCCCTAGAAGCTTCCCTGGGAAGGCAAGGCCAGACTCTGGCCCTGCAGGGACCTGTGTGTCTCCGCAAACCCCAGCTGCCGGCCTCAGAGCAGCCACAGAGCATTGGCACAGAGTCAGAAGGAGAAGGGCCGTGTCTGGGGTGGTGTCATGCCTACCTGTCAGCCACCTGCAGGGCAGGGTGGCTTGGCCTCCGCCTTGGGAGACTCACCTGTTTATCACTGGGTCTTCAGCAGCTCTAGCTTTAGTGAAAACAAGATTTTTCTGTACCTTTGTGGTTCCTGGTGGGGCCGGAGGCTCTGCGTGCCCCAGCACCATAGGACTGTCCCCCAGTGCCTGTTACTGCACTTTTGCCCACAGGGACACTCAGCCCTGCCTGGGAGCCCGGGGTGGCACTGGGCCATGCCTCCCTCCTCCCGGGCCTCCCCAGGCTCCCCCGGGCTGCTTCCCTTCCACATACCCTGCCCCGATCGTGACACCCGGGCAGTTGACCGCAGGCTGGTGTACTGGGTGAAGCCCTCTGGTCCCTTACTGCAATCCAAGGCCTGCCCCTGTTCCAGGGTCCCCTCTGGGCGCATTGGTCTGGGTGTGTAGGGCAGGTGGGGGGATGCGCAGGGATGAGGTGTCATGTGCACCCCACCAATAAGCGTAACCCTGTGGTTCCCCCCCGGCGACCCCACGTCCTCAGCCCAGATGCTCCCACAGGGAAGCCAACCCACCTCCTTCCACCCTCCTGTCTCACCCAAATCTTGCTGCACATACTGCTCTGTTCACACACTTCTGGCCTGTGAGCTTCCAGGGCCCAGGGACAGTCTTGTCAAGTGGGCATGGGCCCCGCAGGGCCTACGTCCTTGGGGAGCTGCGTTCTTGGTGTGTGTGTGAAGCTGACCTTCCAAGGGATGTGAAGGTCAGCTTCACGCTCACCAAGGTTGTCACAGAGCAGGCCTGGTGTCTTTGGCATCCCACTCATTTTTCATGGCGCCCAGTGGCCGGGCCGGGGGATCACTGCTGCAGAACCTCTGCCCCGGGCAGCGCTGGGCTCCAGCAGCAGTTTCTCTCCTGCGTTTTGTCCTTTTAGTTCCTAAAATTTTCACCAAGTAGCGCATGTAGATGTAGCGCCCAAGGTGATGGGCCAGGAGGCTCCTGGAGGGATGGCTCCTGCTTAGCCCTCCCTGCATTTGCTTCTGGTGTTGGCCCCCGGCTCATGCCTGTCTGCTCACATGGAGATCTGTCCAGTGTCTGTTTGTATCTAATGTAAAGTTTCAGCTGTTCCGCAGCATCGCTCCAGCAGAGCCCCCCCACCGTCCCTGACGCTCCAGCAGAGACCCCCCGCCATCCCCGACGCTCCAGCAGAGCCCCCCCGCCGTCCCCAGCACTCCAGCAAAGACCCCCCTGTC